TTTTTGTGTTTATTACCCTCTTTTAACACCTCTAACCTTCCGCACTTTCATGGCCTTTTGGGGTTGGGAATGCCAAAGAAACTAAAACTAAACGAAACTTAACTGACAGTCCGTGAGCTGGCTACTCTCAGAGTTTCAGAAAGAAACTTATTACACAGATTCGCTTTCACGCTGTTGTATCTTATTTCCAGTCTCGTTTTGGATTATGAGTTTCCTGGGGCCACCACGTCTCTCTCCTGTGCCACCCACCATTCTTTGTTTACTCCGGGGCTTCTCTCAATGGAAATGAACATTGATTTTTGCGTTTTCCAGCCGTCATGCGCAATCAGCGATTTCAGCCCTGGGATGTACGGGTGAATTAGTTCGGCTCAGAGTTCCCTGCACCAAATGCTTTTTCAAGGCAGTTGCACTTTGAGATAAAAAATTTGTCCCGGAAATGCAACCTGGGAGATTCAGCAGCAGGCGGAGTGGCAAACCGGAAACGGCGGAGGGAAGAGATCTCAGTTGATATATCTGTGCCAATACTGGTTTAGGTCTGGTTTCAGATTGGCACGCGGAAGTATGATAAGCATTATTCTGGACGTCTGAGTCCAAGATCCTACTTTTGTGTCGACTGGGAAATAAAGTTTTGCGTCATAATTTTATGGCCATATCTCACTGTTATTTCTCTTTTCTTTTTGATTTATTTAATTAATTTTTTTTGCCGTGAGCGTTTGATTAAATGAAAAAAAACAAAAAAACATGAGAGATACCCCGTCGGAGGAGATTTCCAAAGTTCACCTGCGATTGAGCACGAAATTAATATTGTTTTCTAACTTTTTATTTTCGTTTGAAAAGTACACTTATAAAATGTACGATTATACTAAAGTTGAGTATTAAAAGACATTTTGAGTTGTATTTCCCACAACAGTGGATTCATAATTCTTTTTAAAAATGACATTCGCACTTAAAACACTTTTTTCATTTTCTGAAATGTTCATCTTCTATGTTAATTACCATGGTTGATCTAAAACTCACTATATGTGTTAAACGATTCAATACTTACTTTATTTTGGTTGTAATTTTGATAGAATGCCCTTCCACGCCCCTACCCCAACTCTCTCATTTTCAAAACAAAAAAAAAAGAAAAAAAAAAAGAAAAGAAAAAAAAATCGGAATGGGAAACCGATCTTTATCTTTTTTTAAAGAGTTATGTAGCTTCAAAGGGGTCATAATGAACGTCCACACTCTACCAGTTGTACCCAAAGGCTCATTATAGTAGAATATGAGAAAACATTGACAGGAGAAAAGTACCACCTGTACTATAAATGTGGAGGGCCTTACATGTGAAACTAGAACAGTTTAAAGGTCAGAAACATTAGAGCAAAACAAAACAAAAAAAAAGCCGGAAAAAAATAACCGCAAAACGAGAAAGCAAAATGAAAACAATAACGTCCCCATGCTGTGTCGGTAGAGTCTCAGGGAACAGACATTCCACGGGGAGCAACCCACTGCGTTATCGACCAGGTCGCTGGGAGAAACTTCACACCTTGACTCGACGGGTCTTCGGGGTTTGCGCCAGGAGATCGGACACACTGGCTAGCTAGAGGTTATACACAACTACTAGTAGTTCTTGGTAGTTCTTTCTTTTACCATACACAGCGTTAAAACATGAGTATCCGTAGTGAACGCCTCACTTTTATATAGGGATAATCTATAATGCTTTGTTAAAAAAGTCTTATTATAAAACACTGAAGGCAGTAAAAAGAAAAAAAAGAAGATTTTTTTAAAGGACAGGATAGGAACACCCTTCCACACCTCATCTGTCCGTTCCAGGAAAAATTCATAATAACAAAAGTAATTGAAAAAAGCTGACAAAACCACACAAACAGACAAGGAAGTGAACACTCGATGAAACCACATTAAATAATTTTATATTAAATGCTTTTACGCATACTATAGATGAAAAAGTTTTCTTATAGGATTAAGGGATGGTAAATTTCCACCTGAAAATGTAGAATCCAGTGGACAATTTAGATTCGGTTCACAGTAACATTACTCTTTTATTTGCATGATACCTGGAGAGCTTGCGGGATATTCTCAATCGTTCTATAGGAACCTGGATGTGCGTGAGAGGAACACCCAGATGGGCGAGGGCGTAGGAGGGTTTGGGGGGGGGGGGATGAGGATGAAGCTGATCAACATCGCTAACTTAACGTGGCAATTCTCACAATCGATTGATTCACATCGATCTCTCCCCTGCCTTTACGATCGACCAGGCCTAATAACGCGTTAAATGAGACCCATAGAAATGTTTTTATCTGTCGGCTCTTGCACGAGAACTTCGCCTCTGCTGCATTAAAAACTTTCGAGACAAAACCATAGAGAAAAGAAGAAGAAGAAGAAGAAGAAGAAGAAGAAGAAGAAGAAGAAGAAGAAGAAATTAGCTTCCCTTAGTTTTCCTATTCAAAAGCTCATCGTGAGTTTTGCCTTAAACTTATCCATGTAACCAAGCAACTGCTTAATCAATTTTGTAATGAGTTCGATGAAAGACAAGTGCTTCCAGAAATCTAAGTGGAATTATATTTTAAACGGACAAACAATAGACTATTTATGGACCTGCTTCTAGATAGAGTCTGTTTATGTCAGAACTTATTGGCGTTAACGATTTTGGTGCGTTATGAGAATATTCTATACACCCCTTTTCTAAACCTCCCGAATGTCAGTTTCCTTTTTCGTTTTTACTGCTCCCTAATATAATAAACTTTAGGGATGATGGTTTGATAATAAAAGGTCAAACCAGTTACTTTTTTCTTTCGACCAGGGAACGGCGTTCGATGATTTATTGACTTTGCCAAACTAAAGACATCTTTTTAGCTACTACGTTTTCGCTTTATAAGAACGGTTCTTCATATAGCTTGATTATGAACACAATCACTCACACACACTTGCTCACACACACACACACACACACACACACTTGCACACAAACACAAACACACACACACACACACAAACACAGACACAACCACAAATGCATGCATGCACACACACGCACACATACACACATAATATAAATATCCATACAGAAAGAGAGAGAGTGAGGGAGAGAGAGA